CAGGGGAAGTAGGAGGGGTAGGGGAAAGGAAAGAAGGGAAAAGAAAAAATATGAGAAAAGGAAAAAAATGGAAACAAAATCTTTGCAAATAGGGAGGGGTGGAGGGGTTGAAGGGAGGGCAGGGAAAGGGGGAAAAATAAGAACCAAGATGCTCATGTAATGGTACAAGATCCCAATGATGACTGTAATTGTATTTTATACCTAAAATGTACCAATAAACTTAATGGGGGGAAAAGAAATTTTAAAAAAAATAAATTTTTTTAAAAAATTAAAAACAAAATAAAACAAGGAAACTCAGTGTCTGAGGAGGGGACATCAAGAGAATTGGGGACAGGTGGAAAAAGGCCCTGAGCACTGGTTCATCAGTCCTCTTTTTGTGGCAAGTGCCTCTGGGCCTCACTTTTCTTCAGGTTTAGGCTGATCTGAGAGCTGGGCTGAGCCCTTGAGGCCTCAGTCAGAGGCTAGAATCACAACTGACACCTGGAAGCAGAATCCTACATGGTAGCTAGGAGATGTGTGGGTAGATCTCAGACTGCACTTCCTGACTAGAGGCGCTGGGGTTAAGATAGAAGTGTTGAACTCACATAGAAAACCTCCTCTGTTCTTCAAAGAAAAAACAAACTATTTTAAATAGTTAAATGCAGAAAGTCCTACTATTCAGGAACACAGAGTGTTGGCACAAGTGGGTCTTGGCCTCTCTTAATTTCTTGTTTCTCAGCACCACGTGGAGAGGAAGGGGCAAAGCAAGAGCAGGAAGAACTGCATTCTGAAAAGTAAGGCTGTCCTTCCACCCAGATGTGACTTGACATTGCCTGTTCCTCAGCAACCAGATCCATATCTCTGAGGATGTCAGTTGGGGAGGCCCACTAAGGAGGCTCCTAGCAAAGAACTCTGAAATGGGAACATTTCTAAGGATGAAGCTGTGACAGACTCGGTGATGGACGATATCCGGGTGGGGGGTAATGTGGGTCATAGTGGAGCAGAAGTGCCTACATTTGGAGGTGGAAGCTTCAGGTCCAAATATGCACACGTTTTTAGTTTCAGTCTAGCTGACTGCTCATTGAGATGTTATGACCTTTCTTTCCCACAAGGTGGCTCTAAGGACGCTGTGGGTTTGTGGACTTGGAAACAGTTTGTGCATGATAAAATGTTGCCACTCTATGTCTTGCCATCACTCTCAGAGGTCTGTAGCCCTGGACACTCATGGTTGGCCTCAAGGTCTCATCTCACATGTTGTCCTCCAAGTGACATTGCACTCAGCCTCCTCTAAGACCCTGAGCCCCGCCCTTCTCTGCCATAACCTGGCCTTTATTTCCAGCTTGTGGAGAGTGCTTAAAGGGAGTGGAGGAGACTAAAAT